GGGTGAGTGAATTGTGTCTGGTTTGAAGAGGTTCGATGAGATGTCGATGTGTATGTGTATGTGTATGTGAATGTGTGTGTGAATGTGTATGTGTATGTTGATGCGTGTGTGTATTTGTACTGGATGTGGATGTGGAGGGCGATACGGAGGTCTATTTTGATGTTGAAGGCGATGTGATTAATGTGAAGGACGGCGTGACCATCGTCTTCCTTCGTATTTGCAGGCGGCTTCGACTGATACTCTTTGTGAGCATGTGGTATATACCTGTGAGGAAATGTTCACGTCTTCTCCCTTCTTCGTTGTAGGTGTCGGAGAAGGTGGTGAGGGAGCGACAGAGGAGTCGGCTGGTCACGGTGAAGGCAAGGAAGAGACGTCAGGTGAGTGTCGGCTTCCATTCTGCTCGTCGAATGTTGCACTGTGTGAGTTGGTTTGTGCGCGTTCCAGTTAGTGTGCGAGAGTGTGTGCATTTGATGTTGATTTGGTCAGGGCGAGTGTTTGACTGAAACGTGGACGTGTCTGTCTGTGTGTGAATCTGTTTTTCTGTGTGTGTGTGTGTCTGTGTCTGTGTGATATGCGTGCATGTTCGAGTGAGATTGTTGAGTGGATGTGAGTGAATTGTGTCTGGTTTGAAGAGGTTCGATGAGATGTCGATGTGTATGTGTATGTGTATGTGAATGTGTGGGTGAATGTGTTGGTGAATGTGTATGTGGATGTTGATGCGTGTGTGTATTTGTACTGGATGTGGATGTGGAGGGCGATACGGAGGTCTATTTTGATGTTGAAGGCGATGTGATTAATGTGAAGGACGGCGTGACCATCGTCTTCCTTCGTATTTGCAGGCGGCTTCGACTGATACTCTTTGTGAGCATGTGGTATATACCTGTGAGGAAATGTTCACGTCTTCTCCCTTCTTCGTTGTAGGTGTCGGAGAAGGTGGTGAGGGAGCGACAGAGGAGTCGGCTGGTCACGGTGAAGGCAAGGAAGAGACGTCAGGTGAGTGTCGGCTTCCATTCTGCTCGTCGAATGTTGCACTGTGTGAGTTGGTTTGTGCGCGTTCCAGTTAGTGTGCGAGAGTGTGTGCATTTGATGTTGATTTGGTCAGGGCGAGTGTTTGACTGAAACGTGGACGTGTCTGTCTGTGTGTGAATCTGTTATTCTGGGTGTGCGTGTGTGTGTGTCTGTGTGATATGCGTGCATGTGCGAGTGAGATTGTTGAGTGGATGTGAGTGAATTGTGTCTGGTTTGAAGAGGTTCGATGAGATGTCGATGTGTATGTGTATGTGTATGTGTATGTGTATGTGAATGTGTTGGTGAATGTGTATGTGTATGTTGATGCGTGTGTGTATTTGTACTGGATGTGGATGTGGAGGGCGATACGGAGGTCTATTTTGATGTTGAAGGCGATGTGATTAATGTGAAGGACGGCGTGACCATCGTCTTCCTTCGTATTTGCAGGGGCGTGACCATCGTCTTCCTTCGTATTTGCAGGCGGCTTCGACTGATACTCTTTGTGAGCATGTGGTATATACCTGTGAGGAAATGTTCACGTCTTCTCCCTTCTTCGTTGTAGGTGTCGGAGAAGGTGGTGAGGGAGCGACAGAGGAGTCGGCTGGTCACGGTGAAGGCAAGGAAGAGACGTCAGGTGAGTGTCGGCTTCCATTCTGCTCGTCGAATGTTGCACTGTGTGAGTTGGTTTGTGCGCGTTCCAGTTAGTGTGCGAGAGTGTGTGCATTTGATGTTGATTTGGTCAGGGCGTGTGTTTGACTAGAACCTGGATGTGGCTCTCTGTGAATGAATCTTTTCCTGTGTTATATTCATGGGTGTTCCTTTGATTTTTTTGTGTTTATTTTGGGGAATTTTTTTAGGCTTTTTTTTACTTATGTTTATTTTTTTTTTTGGCATGTGTCTTTTGACTTTTTGGCTTTCTTTTAATGTCTTCTTCTCTTATTGTCCTTTTTTTATATATTTTCTTTTTTTATATGCTGGTTTATTATATTTAAAGTTTTTAGTTTTTTTATTAGAACTTATATCATTTAATGTACCTTTGGAAATCCTGCGTCTCCTTGTTCGCTCTTTCTGTTTTTTGACTCTTCATGAATACTAGTACGAAACAGTATTCCTTGCAATTTTTCCACTGGTTCTCCACCTGATTTCAACTCATAATGAATTCATCCAACCAATCAAATGAAATTTCTTCAAAACCAATACCGTTATGGTGATAATTTATTTTACTTTATCAATCTACAGGTGGAAAAGGAAATATTTTGAGGAGCAACTTGACATTCAGTTTAACAAAAGATATTGGTATGTATTTATTGTAATAGTTCCCATTTTTTCAAAATCTCACTTGAAGACTGAAGAGGCTGTATTTTTATTAAGGTTCTTAGAAATTCATGATTGACAGTGTATTTCGATAAATGTACGTTTAGTTAACACTTGGATGTAAAGGTCAAATCTGATTTATAACCTTAAGTTATATATAGTATACTAATGGTATTCATAAACGTTCATTAACGTAAATTGTCATCATACATAGACGATATTCATTAGCAGGAAGAACATGACAAATGTTGGTAAAGATTCAACTGAAATCTCTACTTCTGTACAAAATATGTACTGTATACCTTTAGGGATGCTGCTGTTTTAACATCAATACCTTTTTATTCTTGTTTGCGTTATAAACTCCAATAAACTTTCAGCAATTAAGGGATTGTGTGCCTTTCTTTCTTTCAAAGAGTGTTGATAAACTTATATTTACAAAAACATAAGTTACTCTATGGGAACTATGTGCATAAGTAAAAAGAAGACGTGAATGTATTACTAATTTAACGCTTGAAACCTAAGTTTTGAGAAAACTTATCAGGTTCCATGACGCATGTAGTTAAAACTTATGTGCTTAGATAACTTTTCATATCTGTTTTTTAACTAGTCAGTAGAATGTCAGCGTAGCTTTGTTATAGTTTTGGCCTTGAATCTTTGAAGAGTGGATTTCAATTTTGTCACTTAAAGTTAATAATATATGGATCAAGCAAATGTTGGAAGTGTTTTAACCATCTCCAACTAACTGTCTGCCTTGTCTTTGTTTTTAATATGGCACGACCTTGGTTTTCGAGGTCTAAAAAGAAGATATTTAGGTCAGATCTAGAGTTTAATTTAAAAGCTCTAGTGTTTCATTTATTTTACAGAGAAAGTTAGCGTAAAATAAACTTCAAATTACGCAAAATATTTGTGCCCACATGTTATTAAATCATCAGATACTGAAGTATTTAAGGGACTTATTTCATACTCGATCGTTTTGGTGTTGTCTGATAGATGTCTGAAAAACCTTTCACGACAATCTGTATATATTACTTAATTAACGAAAATACTTTTCAATATTATTTAGGTGATTTAATAAGCAACTGCAGTCAGCAGAATAAAACAGGTTAGTCATTAGTCACACTTTTTCACAACTAATCTACCTCATTTATTAATATCACGTGCTGATCACATTATTGCTTATTGTTTTATATTCAGCAAACGAGTATTGCTCCATCCTAACCAATGGTTATACCGCCACCTTAAAAATGTTTCTTTTTCTTTCTTAATTCACAAATTAGGCAATTCAACACAAGATTTCAAGAGGTGTAATCAGAAGTTGAAAGTCAATGTGACAGTCTCCCTGTCTTTAAAATAAACTTAGTATTGTTTTTATCAAGAAGATGGAATTAACGAATCGGGACTGAAAATCTTATCCTTATTTAATATGTGGTTTAATTAAAAGTGTAAAGTTTTCAGTTATTATTCGTTAAGGCTAACCGTATTTAATTCTTCTTGTTATAAATATAAGTAGTAGTTGCTTTTAAACATTATAATATAATAATACCTTAATTCAGAAAAATGCCTTTATGATTAACACACAATTTTCAGCCAGTTTTTTTCATTGTAACGTATTTACTGTTTGTGCAGAATCTTCAAGTAATATAATATATCAACTGAAATGAGATTGTTTTATCTGAGACATGCTCCAATAATCCTCAGTATTTCCGCTCCATATCCGACAAACAATTCGTAGCAGTAGATCGAAAACTGTTTGAAAATGTTCCTAGGTGCAAATTGTGATTCTTAGACATTATTGTATGGTTATAGCAATATGAAATGGTGTAAACACGATAGATTTAGACGTGGTATAAAATTTAGTTAGCCCAGTGATTTGAACAGGCCAAGCATTTGAAATACTGAACAGACAAGGTTCTTAAGTCAGCTTTCAACTCCTCTAAAATTTGTTGGAAATCAGTAAAACATGCGCCAGATGTGACAGAAGAACCTTTCGCAGTTATTAATATTGACTGAAGTGGAATGCAATCACTCTAAAACGAAACAAATTACATTCAAAAAAGAATTTGAGCTAGAATTAGTGGGTTATTTAGTTTGTGTCCTGTTTTACATGTCTGCAGTATTTGTGGATAGATTTATTTTATTATACTTAGGGGTTTGACCGGCAATACTGAGATGTGAACAAATAAGTGTAAGGTGGCAGCTGGAACTTCTTAGAAAGATACTGAGAATGAGGAACCTTAAGCAATGTAAGGTGACTTAGAGATATCTGGTCAATATTTATTCGCTTAAGTATTTGTCTATTTTATACTTATGTTCTGCCGGCTAAGTTTCATTCGTGTGCGGACAAATGAAAAAACTAGCAACCGTTTTATAACTTTTCCTCTTGAGGTAAAAGTGTACGTCTGAGCAAGTGAAATATGAAGGTGTTAGTGTTTTAAGATAAACGGTAGCTTCTGCCTGCAGTCTTCTCATGAATTGAAGAGTTGATGCGTCTTCACACAGGTTTCTTAAAAGTAAACTGTGGCATTTCCAGTTGATTTCTTATATTGCAACTTAATGCAGATATCCACTTCATAATAGCGAAACAACCTTTCATAAAACAACAGAAAATGTCAGAAAGAATTTCCTAGGCACATCACAATATTCAAATGCTGCCTAGAAAACATTCTTTCTAAACAGTATTCAACTGAATTCTCGATAAATGCACCTTAGAAATGAAAAATTGACAAAGTATAAAGCATACCGGAATATACTTCAGGTATTGAATATGCGACCCTACATACTTGTACCATCACTCTGCATTGCAAAATATCGCTGTATACTTTACTTCTCCACCGAAATAAAGTAAATACGTTCTGCAGCAACTGAGTGATCTGAATTGACACTGTATTACTCTGAAATCCTAACTGCCTGTATTATGCGAATACTTTATACAACGGACACCTATTTAGACCCAGTAGGAAGTAAGCCACTCAGATACTTTGTTGCGGAATTCACCGAAAACTATATTTTAAAGCTTTTTCTAGGTCAAGCACATTGAGCAAACAATGAAATTCATGTAAATGGAGTTAAAACGGAATACACTAAACAGCTAAAGTAGTGTATATATGTATTCCTTTACTACGTGAAATTAAAGATGCTATTTCAAATAGATTAATGTTCATACCACAATTTGAAATCCTGTCGATCGAAATGAACTCATAACTTAGACTCCTTAAGTAATAAAAGTGCATGCTTTTAAAACAGCTCATGACACTTTTACAACCGAGGACAAACACTGTTTCATCATATATGCTGAGTGTTAGAATTTAAGTGTGATTACGTCATTTGCTAAGTCTATATTTCATGAAATCCTGAACAAAAGATATGATCAAGTAATTAACTAGTGTGCAATTCGCACGTTTCAATTATGATGGTTAGTGGACTTATAGTATTTGTTAGATAATCGAGTTATGTTCAGCCTAATGTGTCACGTTTGATAGAAATGTTACATAGCCACATTTCACTTAGAAGTTATTTTTGTATTCTTGGTGATGCATTGTAGTTACTTGTGAGATTTTGTTTTTAAAACCCCGGTAAAGCCTAATTAGTTGAACCTAAAGGACTGTTTATAATACTTTAAAAAAAGTGAAGAAAACTTTGGTCTGAATGCAAAACTCCATTTCGAGCAAGCTGGATCCAGAAAAGGCACTGATCAAACGTATCATTACCGGGGAAAGCATAGAATAGCAGTCAAATGTCTATTTTAACTCCATCGGCTTTGAAAGTTTCCGACAGATTTGACAGCGAAGTGATCCGAAAACTGCTTCAAGACTAAAGGTTGTCCTAACCTGCATTAACTTCACTGAACAGTTATATGACAAAGTTACATGTGAAGTAATTAACAACAGAAAACTCAAAGAAGTTTTTTGAAGTGAGGTCAACAGTAAGACAAAGCTTCAAACTATCAATAGTGATAATACTGGCTGGGGTAGACTGGATCATGTGACAGACCATGGGAAGCAGGCAGAGAGGAATATGCTGGACCGACAAGAAGATTCCAAAAGACCTGGCCTCCACAGACAAATTATGTCTAGTGTCACATAAACTCAAAAACCTACAAACAAAGACGAACAAGGTTTTGAAAGATGCAGCAGTGACAGGAATTTCAGTGAAATTAACAAGACAGAGATGATGAAGATAACCAACCGACAACAACAAGTAATAGTCAGTACCACCAGGAGAAGTTTGAATGAGGTTATTACTTTCAATAACATCAGTGTAACAGTTGAAGACGCAAAAAGAAGATTGAAATCAAAATGGAAGTTTGCTTCAATCAACCTAAGGAACCTCTTCTCAAGAAATCCTTAAATTATGCCAGTTCAGGGATTCCTGACTTTAAGTTCTTTGAGTACGCCAAAAAGTTGCTGGCACATGACAAGTATATTACTAAGACATTATTGTTCTCACTATAATATACACGAATGACAACAGTTTACAGACATCAATATGGTAAAATTTAATAAAGCTGGATTATGTTTGTGCAATCTACCAACAGTTGACTCCGAAACACAAAAATAATAACAATACGTGTGTAATGATAATAGTACCAATGATTACTCATTTCTTAAAGGAAAAAGGTTTATAATTTCAAAAATTAAAAGTTCTTATGTGATTCACAATAACAGTAGGTGCGTGTTACGAATAATTAACAAGACAAGTTCATTCCCCGACCTAAGATCTCTGTAATGAAACCCGAGGTTCCATTGTCAATATTAATGTCAACGAAATTCGTGAATGAATGTTATTCTTCATAACAAGCAGTGTTTGAGTTGGCACAAAAGTAACTTAACGGATTACCCTGAGATCCCATCCGAACAGCCAAGTGATCAGTAAAGTTCGTTTGCAAAAAGATAACACTTTCTAATATGTTATACGAAAGACCATCATTGTCTCATGTTAACAGAATCCTGTCATTCAATCCTCATCTTACATAACAACCTATTCATATAGCTACACAAGATCTCCATTTTCAGGCTCAGTTATCACTCCAATACCTGCATTTAACTGCAACAGAGATCAGTCATCGCAATACGATTGAACAGCTTAGCGAAGAGACTGTTTTCGGCAAAATCATTCACTTAGCTGCACAATAACAAATACAGGGGTAATTATATCTGTATATATATATTATTATTCCCTTGGGTTCCTAGTGGAACATAGGGCTTCAACTACACGTCTCCACTTGCTTCTGTCTTCTGCTGTAATTTTCACCTGCATCCATGTTAGTCCATACTGTTTCAACTCCCCTTCACACGATATCCTCCATATCACCCTTGGACGTCCCACTTGCTGCTTCTCTTTCGGGTTCCACTCGAGGGCCTGACGCGCGATGTCACCCAACGGCCTCCTCAGCGAGTGTCCAATCCATCTCCATTGAATTAATGCAACATTCCTTCTTTTTGAGTTGAACCTGGCTGTCATTATCCTGGAGGAGATTGGTTCCCACTGTCTGAGAGCTTTGACTGCTGTTGGTGACATCGTGATGACTACTCCCTCGGTGTGCTCGTGATTGTCCTTTAGGTGACCGGAGTAGATTATTGTCTTTCCAGTTGGTAGTTGGCTCCTTCCACATCCCTTCCATCTGCTCTCGCAGATTCCCAATACTTCTATTTTATATCTTCTCATTTCTGCGGCTACCTGAGCAGCTTTTCCAGTTTCGTACATTGTACGAATATTCCACGTCCCCATCCTTGTTTTCGCTTTCATCACCACATATATATATATGTGGTGTTTACATTCAGTCTGTCAAACATAATCAGAAAAGATAGAAATAAATTAATCCACAATATTGTCTACATCATGTAAACACTTCAAAACAGTGAAGAATAATCAAATAATGAGAAAGTGAACTAAAATTAGACTAAGGATTGCGTCATACAACAAATGGTGAAGAAACAGTGGGTTTGTATATTAAGAGCGTAGATACAAGCAATTGGTGGACAGAAAGTTACATGAGAAAATGGTGTTAATAAGTGTCAAGCTAAAAAGGGATACAAAGATATTAATAACAAAATATTGATGACGACTGGGTCCGAAATTAGAATGAGTTATTTTGTTCTAAATGTAGTCGTTTGGCTGAATTTACTGGAAACAGTCACTTCGCTCAGTTGTTCATACCAATTTCTATGCTAAGGTGGATATTTTGGAAATTTTGAAAGTCAATTGTTTTATATTGAGTAGGATAAAATGACTCCATGATGCTTCGTTGGCTCCTCTCAACTGTACATAGTCATAAACTGTTTTAATGTAAATATACATAATATTCATTTAGTTTAATGAATAGTCACAACGGTGAACGACGCAAATATCTTGTGATTAAACAGCATAATGCTTATAAATAATTATAGAATATTCTATCATTTCTAATGTTTGTTGCAAATTGAATAGAGGTATATAGTCAACAAAACACGTATGACTTAAATAATTCAGTTTAAATAAGGTCAAAACTATAGTCCAGTCAGGAGCATAGCTAAGGACATAGTTAAGAGTAGGAAATTAGGCTGTCAAAAAAATATGTTCAAAAGGTGAAAATGAATAGAAATAACAACA